AGAAGATACTGTTTTAGCATTTCTCTCTTTGTAGGAAACTCACATCTAAACAGGAGAATGTTTCAAAATGAGATCTGGCAAACTGCCTTTGTATATAAAAATCAGCACAGAGCAATATGGGTTCAAATTTAGTATTCTTTATTTTTGTTTATTGATTTGTTTGTGACCCTACACAAATTGTTGTGCATAACCCAGGTGAAAATATCAGCAGTGGACAGGAAATTACAACCACCATCAAGTGCTGCAGTCTGAGTGGCTGCTGTGGTGTGAAGTTGGTGTAAAAGGGAAGGAAACACACAGAGAGTGGATAGCAAGGAGGGGAAGTACGAAACATATGCATTAGATTCATTTTATATGAACACAATTAAAACCAAGTAGAAGCCGTTCAGTTGAGCTGCCCAGCCGTTCTGGATGCCAGGATGAAACCCGCTCTGCTCTGCATGCTGGGCTTTTTCTGTAAGTACGTCACTGACTTTCTGCTCAGAGTTTAAAGAAAATGTTTCTTCACGATAACATGTGAGCGTGTATCAATGTTAAGTGTAAGTGAGTTTGTTCTAAAGTTGAAGGACTGTTAGGCGCTGTTCAGGTTTGTCACCGTTCTCAACCTGGAGTGTCGGCCGGACCACACTTCAGCTCAAGACCAGATGATTGGTGGAGGTGCACCATAAGTTTAAAGAAGACACGAGGCAGGATCCTTTAACTGTTCTGTATTCCAAACTGTATCACAGTTTTTGTTGCTTTTTTTAATTCAGCTTTCATTATCTATAGGAAAACTATTCAGTTTGTGTTTTACCAATGCATTTAACTTTGTTTTGCACTTCAGTACCACTGTTCTCATTTGTTGAGAAAATTGTCCCAATATTAATAGTATTATTACTTTCTCTAACAATATTCTCTTGGATTTTTAGAATATTTTATATTGACCTGTTGTTATATACAGTAGATGAAACTGAACACACACACAAAAAAAGGTAAACTACGGTTTTACGGAACAACTTGTTCCTCTTTGTGTCGATTTGCCGACTCAAGTCTGTCCTGAAGTGACATTTTATAATTTCAGATAAAACAAAAGCAGATTTATCAGACAAGTACAGAAGGTTGTAAAAGTCCTGTTAGTTTCTACATGTTTTTGCTTATGACATCTGCCAAGAACATTTCCTTTCCTTTACTTTTGAGTAATAGCTATGCAGTCTGTAGATTTCATAATAAATGTGAAGTTGAGTTTTACATTCTCCCCTACAGCAAAGTTGTCTTGACTGTTTGTGGTTTTCTCCAGGGAGATTTGTTCCTACCAGACATGACCTTCACTTTAAAGGGTGCAGTAGAATCAATGATACATAAATCTTAGAATAGAGAATATCTACCAACTCATCTACATCATTACAACTTAAGGGCGAGGAGGAAGAGTAGATAAACTATTTACAAAATCAAGTTTTAAAAATAAAAACAAATTTCCACTGTGTGACATATGTACAAACGTTTTAACCTATCATGGTTTTCTTTTTGTCTTCTCATGCTAGAATATTGTATGATAGGGGAAGGAGAGCAAATGTATTTATGTATTTTTTTTCTGTCTGAGTTCTTTTTATCAGTTTGATTTGCCCTGTGTGTTTGCTGCACTGTGTGGCTGTGGTTAGAAATGGTGCCTTTCTGAATAAAGTTTGCATGTTTTGCTGCGCATATGTGGGTTCTTTCTTGGAACTCGATCCTTCTACCACAGTCCAGAAACATACATGTTAGGTTGATTAGTCTCTCTAAAATAACAATAAGTTTGTGCATGATTGTTGTTTCTTTGTATCTCTGTGCTGCCCTGATGGACTGGTGACTGGAATCCCTGCTAGCATGCCTAGGTGGGCCCCATGTGGGGAAAAGGAGGACAGACCATATGCGTCCCATATGGGGTTTGTCTGCGGGTTCCACGATGGCCCCACATGGGTTTGTCCATGACAGATGATTTACATTTATACAAAATGCTGAAAACATTAATGATGAGAGGTGTTCCTGTGGTTTTCTAACCTGTAGAAATCAACAGTAGACAGGACGACCTCACAGGAAGGGGGCAAGGAAACTCAGAAGATGTCTTAATGTTGAAGTCTCACTTTTGTTTTGATGAGAAAATATTTATGTTGCTTCAAATTTCTCAAGGCATTAATGATTCAAAGTGTCTGCAATGATAAAACTTTACACAGCTTTTCATTTATAGAAACATGATAGAAAACCTGGTCCATGAGGATCATTCAGAGTTCATATTTTTTCCATAGTTTGAGAAATGTAATTTTAATGTTGATTTTTTTCATTATAACAAAATGCTTCCTGAAATACTTATTCTGATGATTTACTTGTTTTCATTTGTAGACCGAGTAAACGTCACACTGACAGCAAAGGAAACAGTCATACCAGCAGGGGGAAGTGTTACACTGACCTGCCACATTTCTGTATGTACTGACTGGAAGTTTGCCTGGTTCAGAAATGGACAACAATATTATCCTGTAGATGGATTACTCAGAAGTGGAGAATCATATGGAACCATCAGAGTCTCAGAGGGAGGAGAGTACAGATGCATTGGAGTAAATGGAGAAGGAGAAATAATATATGAAGTAGATATTTACTGTGCAACCCCGTACACGGTCACCATTTGGAAAACTGGTGAGTTTAGTTATCAGGTCATCATCACAACAACAAATGATCTTTAAGTCCTGAATTTGGTCCTCAGTTGTTTGACGAAACATTTGTCATCAAGAACAGATAGAATATTAAATAGCTTAGACATGAGTATAGTTTAATCTGTGATGGTGTCAAATCTTTATTTTTTTAATTGTGAAAATAAAAAAAAACAATACTCTTGTTTTGTCAGTGCAGACGGAGTCATGTACAGATTCAAGCCTTGACTTATTTGAATCTGATTCTGTTGAAACAGACACAATAATCCAATATTGCTGAAAACCTAAACAGACCTCCTGATGTAAAATATATTAATTTAGTTTGAAAAACCTTGAAGCAGAGATATTTTCTTGTAATTTTTTTAAGTTGCATTAAAGATATCCTATATCTAATTTTATTGTATATTTAATGTACACAGAAACAAACATTTGAGAAAAAAATATTCTTTACAATAAACATGTGTGCCCAAAAGCCTGGATTATTATTTCTGTTCAGGTTCACTTTGCTTCACTTAATTCCATAACCTGATGTCAGTTTCTAAGCCGACTGTAATCTTGCATCCCATCTGATGTGAAAGTAAAGACTAAAACCAGAAAGGAACTGAGAGGATGTATGAATGGATAAATAATAAGTTGGATAATTATAAATACACAATCATTATAGCTGACAGTGGAGAATATGGCTGCAGAGGAACAGCTACAAGAAAGAGTCTGTATCTTATTCCAGTTAAGACACTTTGGAACTACTTGTGTATAATCAAGGAGAACATTATTCCACTTAATATCTAAAATAAAAATTATAAATAACCAATAATCAACATTTAAATAGCTCCATCAAAGGAATATAGAAGCAGCTGCTGCCATTTCACATTATTTTATTTCTGAATTAAAAACATATTTGCCCTTAACATTTCAAAATGTTAAAATAAATGTAGCTAACCAACTCTTAATGTCTTTCTAATCTGCTACCAGAGAGCCTGACTTCATTTTAATCTTTTAAAGGTTTTTACTAACTAAAATAAACAAATCTTAGAAGAGCTCATATACAGTTTGAGACAAACATTGATCAAATTGCTCACTGAAGTTACAAAAATGCTTTCTGCAACTTAAGCTGATTTTAACACTATCAGTGTTAGATGAAATATTCTGGACTGTTCTGGTAATTTCCTATCTATATATTTTTCCTATAGATCCCAATAAACCCAGTTTGGTTCTTCAACCCAACTGGTCTCAGATCTACAGAGGAGAGAAAGTCACTCTGAGATGTGAGATCCAGGGAGGAACTCAGTGGACGTATGAATGGAGACCAACCAATAGAAACTCTCCATCATCCAGTGAATACAGGATCAACTCAGCTACTGATGCTGACAGTGGAGAATACAGCTGTAGAGGAATCAGAGACTACAAGTTAACAGAGTGGAGTGATTCTGTCAGACTGACTGTGAAATGTGAGTCAGACTGACCTCAACTCAAACTGAACCTTTTTGTATTTACTTTCCTTTTTGCAGGAACTGAATTAAACAACAGGAAATATTTCTGATCAAGCAGTCTCATACTAAAAGCTCCAGTTTCTCCTCAGGGAAACAGAAAAAACCAACAAATATTTAATTAGTAACTTTTGTGAGAAATGTAGAGGAAAAAACAAAGGAATATTTTCCTTGCATACATGAACCTAAACAGGAGACAATAAAGATGAACTGAGTTTTTACACAGAGAGATGGAGAGTTTAACATCATATTTTGCAGCAAAACATCTTTTAAGATATTAACAAATGTAACAAGATACAATATTCTTCCTTGGAGCTGTGGAATATGAAAAGACGGAGATTTGCTTTTCAGTGTGAACCATTATTTAGAGAAGCTCTGGTGATTTTCAGCTGGTTTTGCTCATAATTCTATATTGACATAAAACAATGGTTTTATATTGGTACATATAAAAAACATTTTAGTCATGTTTGACCAACACATGTTTGTATAATTTGTGCTAAAAATTGTAGAACCAAACTAGATGTGTTGTTGATAAACTACATGTTGATTTGTTTGTGACTCTGCTAGTTTGATCTGTTGTTGATGTTGAAATAATCTGGTTGAACCTGAGTTTGAATCATAGGGCAGGTTTGGAATTTCATCTGCAATGATAAAAGTTTATACAACTTCTCATTTACAGGAAACATGACAGAAAATCTGGCCAATCAGTGATGAAGAGTTCATGTTTCTCATTAGTTTGAAAATTTTAATTTTATTCAGTTTTAATGTAGATATTTTACTATGACAAATTGCTTCCTGAAATAATTCATATTCTGATGATTTACTTATTGTTCTCATTTTCAAACTCAACAGCTGATAAACCCACAGCCACACTGACAGCAATGGAAACAGTCATACCAGCAGGGGGCAGTGTTACACTGACCTGCTCTGTTGACGGATCTACTGGCTGGAAGTTTGACTGGTTCAGAAATGGACAACAATATCCTGCAGATGGATCCTCCAGAAACACAGAACCAGATGGAACCATCAGAGTCTCAGAGGGAGGAAAGTACAGCTGCAGAGGAGGAAGAGGAGGAAGAGGAGACCCAGTTTTTTACTCAGGAACCAGCAGAGAGGTCACCATTCAGATAACTGGTGAGTTTAGTTATCAGGTCATCACCATGACAACAAATAATATTTAAAACCTGGATATAATTCTAAATAGATTAATCTGTGATCATGTCAAGTTTTTTATTGTGTGAATGTGATAATTAATGACTTTTGTCAGTGTAACTTCTCCAGAAGACAGAAACATTTACAGTTTTGATTCTTGACTTATTTGAATCTGATCCTGTTGAAACAGACACAATAATCCAATATTACTAAAAACCTGAACTGACCCCCTGATGTAAAATAGATTTATTAAGTTTAAAATTTAAACCAAAGACATTCTGTTTTTATTTTTTTATATATTCACTCACTAAGGTTAAAAAAATGTTTCCTGCAACTTAAGAAAGTGATTTTACTCACTATAAGTGTTACGTTAAATACTCTTGGTTGTTCTGGTAATTTGCTAACTATATATTTTTCCTAAAGATCCCAATAAACCCAGTTTGGTTCTTCAACCCAACTGGTCTCAGATCTACAGAGGAGAGAAAGTCACTCTGAGATGTGAGATCCAGGGAGGAACTCAGTGGACGTATGAATGGAGACCAACCAATAGAAACTCTCCATCATCCAGTGAATACAGGATCAACTCAGCTACTGAGTCCCTCAGTGGAGAATACAGCTGTAGAGGAAAAAGAGAAGGGTTTTCCTGGACACCATGGAGTAATGTTGTTAACCTAACTGTGTGTAAGTTGAAGTGATCATTTATTATATTTCATTTTGTGTCACTATGACAGAATTTTTCTTCTGACAATTTTAAAACCTTCTTGTTTGGCACTTAAAAATATTTCAATTGAAATTTGAAGCAAAGTAACAGAACAGCAGCTTTAACTGCAACACAACAGAAAAACAGAAAACATTTTTAATCTCTAATCTCTCTCCAGCACCCAAACCTCAGCCTGTCCTCTCTGTGTCTCCATCATGGCTGAATCCTGGAGCCTCAGTGACTCTGAGCTGTGAGGGTTTGGAGCATCAACCAGCAGGATGGAGGTTCTTCTGGTATAAAGCTGTTCCTGATCCATCCAGCATCTCCTACACCTCTGAGCTGCTTCCTGGCAGCACCAATGGTTCTGAGCAGAACTCCTTCATCACTAATGGATCGACTCTCACAGCAGGATTTGTGTGCAGAGCAGGAAGAGGAGAACCAGAGTTTTACACTCATTACAGTGAACCAGAGTTTGTCTGGTCTGCAGGTCAGTTTATTTCTGTCTTTACTCTCAAATAAAAATGAGTTTCAGACATTTTTGATCTGAGAAAACTTTTATTTTAAATGCTTCTTTCGATTTAACTTTAAAAAGAAATGCCTGGAAATTGACTTATGTTCATTTATGATGGAGCATTAGGAAAAAAAAAGATACTTGTGTCATAGCTACCAACTGATAGATCAATCACATTATCAGGTAATAAACAGTTAGCAGTTGTGTGTCTAAAGTGACAGAAATATTAGATAAGTAATTTTCTGAATAAATCAAAGCTAAAAAGTCAGCAGGGTAGCAGGCGAATCGACCATCATCTTTAGTGGTGAATTGAAACATTGATCAGGAGAAGCAGTTTGAGAGGTTTTGGTTCCTGTGTCGTCTCGTCTGGCCCCGATTGCTCCCAGCTGTGTCTCAGGTTCCCTGATTACCCCTTGTGTATTTAATGCCACCTGTGTCTCCGGCTCCCTGCAGGGTCCTTGTCGTGTCTATACATCCTGTCGTTTATCTCATTAGTCCTTTGCTCTCTCAGTGCTACCAGTGTGTCTGAGTTCCTAGCCTCATCATATTCACCTGTGCTCCCCTGGATTTCTGTTCACGTTGTGATTATCATCATGAAACATTCATTTACTCTTCAAACCTGGGTCCACCACGTCTATCCTCACAACCACTAATGCAACCAATTAATGACACTGTTAAAGATTCACATGTAAATTACGACTTGTTTTTGTAAAAGATGGAAGAATTATTTCCCCTGTAGTTTATTTCCTTTGAGAACTGAAATATTTGGGAATAACAGTAGTTTTAAACCAATCAATCAATCAAATTTTATTTGGATAGCACCTTTCAGCAATAAGGCATTTCAAAATGCTTTCCATCATAAAAACACAAAGTCATAGAACACACAGTCAGCATTACATTTCACACATCAGATTATTGATTAATGTTTCATGATTAGATTTCAAAAGCAAATCTAAACAGTTGGGATTTTAGTCTAGATTTAAAGGATGTCAGTGTTTCAGCTGTTTTGCAGTTTTCTGGAAGTTTGTTTCAGATTTGTGGGGCATAGAAGCTGAAATAAAAGTTTGATCAACTTGATGAAATGTTTGCTCTGATCTTTATTAGTATAGAAACAGGCCATTTGTAATGAATCATTTTAAAGATGTTTCTGTTCTCAGATGAAATCCTGTCTTTTTTCCAGATCCTCGTCCAGCAGCTTCTCTCTCAGTGAATCCTGACAGAGTTCAACACTTCAGATCTGAATCTGTGACTCTGAACTGTGAGGGAAACTCTTCTGAGTGGAGAGTGAAGAGGTTTACAGAAACAGGAAAACTGTCAAACTGCTCCATCTGGGGAAACCTGACTGGATCTACATGTATCATCGACCCAAACCGGTTTAATAGTGGAGTTTACTGGTGTGAGTCAAAATCTGGAGAGTTTAGCAATGCTGTCAACATCACTGTACAGGGTAAGATCTGGTTTATAGTCTTTTTTTTCTTTTTTGCACATCATAAATATATGAAATATTGTGAATATCATAGAGTTCAAGGAAGATTTTTGACTTTTTCTGCTACATTGCATAACTGAGGTGAAGTCACAAAATAATTCATTGTATTGATCTTTCATGATCAATGAATTCCACAATGTCACTGCAGTTGAAAACATAAAGCATTTTAAAGAAATGTTCTTCACTGAATATTCTCTGGTTGTTTCACAGATGATGATTCTGCTCCTCTCCTGCTGAGTCCTGTTCATCCTGTGACTGAGGGAGATCCTGTTACTCTGAGCTGCAGAGATAAAGAACAACAACTTCTCTCCAATGTGTTTTTCTATCATAATGATAAACTCCTCCATAATGACAGCAGAGGGGAGCTGAATATCTCTGCAGTGTCAAAGTCAGATGAAGGTTTCTACAAATGTCAACATTCAGGAAAAGATTCACCAAGGAGCTGGATGTCTGTTAGAGGTGAGGAGGAGGAAAATATTTAGTTCATTTTATTCAGTAAAAACATTTGAGTTAATTTAACAAAAAGGTGAAGACCAAGAACGTTTATGTGGATGTGCTGAAGATTTTTTTATATGTGTTCAAGTTTGAAATCATGTCTTTTACAAAACAGACGATGACGTCTTGAAATCTGTTGCTTTATAAGATTTATTAATTTTAATGTTTCTTATTTCCAGTAACTGTTTCCAGTCCTGCCAGCTCTTCATTTTCTGTCATGTTGATCGTTAGACCAGTTGCTGGAATCGTTCTCATTATTCTCCTGATTCTCCTTCTCTTGTTGTGGAGCTGCAGACGGTCCCAAGGTGAGACATTTTTGTGCTCACATTAAATTAAGTATTTAGTTAAATCCTTAATTTGTTAAAATATTTTAAGTTTATTCTGATGTCTTAACATGAATTAAAAGCAGGGGAAAATATCATTAAATGTCTTTTTCCCTTACAGATACAGGCTATGTCAGGTCAGTATAAAACATTTATCTTTCTTTACACACACTAAAATAGTTTCTTTCTATAATGCATAGAAATCTGTTATTTTCAGATCGAATCAACCAGAGAGCATCAATCCAGATCATGAAGTGACCCAGAATGACGGTTCTGTTTACAGCTCTCTGCTTCCCGGTTCGTCTCACATTAAACATCTTTATGATTAATTAGAATGTTTAATCACTTTATAGTTTCTAGATATGTGAACTGAAAACACAAGGCCTTCATCATGAAAATCAAGCAGTGAGGAATGAGAATTGATGTTTAATCATGAAATGAAGAATATTCACACTTGTTACAAATAACATGTCAGGAAAAAAAATGAAATATCAATATATCAAACAGAGCTAAACACATAAACTATTAGAACATCTACTTTGTTTTAAATTGATGTGATAATTTTATTAATTTCCACTCATTTGAACTTTGACCTTGTTTTATTGTCTTTAGGTGACTCGTCCCTCTATGAGACAATCCAACTCAGCAGAACCTCAGGAAACGGTAAAGTAAATGTTTTATAGCAGCTAAAGACGCTGATGAGAGACAGATGATAAAAAATAATGAAGATGAAGATGAAGATACATAAAACACATTAAATATACAAATAGAGAACTTAAGTACTTATAACAACATATAAAACACAAACAGTAAAATGATCTGAAGATTTTCTTTTTGTGTGATTTCTAATTGATTCTCTCACCAGAGAGGATTCAACATCCAGCAGAAGATCCTGATGATGCTAATGCTAACTCTGCTAATGCTAACCCAGGTAACTGCAGCTCAACATGTGGATCAGACGGTTAACATCTACAGTACAGACATAAAGTATTGACTAAAATTAGTAACCAGAGGAAAGGAAATAATAAATAGTTTGATTCTCTATCCATCTTATTGATTTATTGTTCAATATGTTTATTTTAGATTAATTTAATGATTATTTTAATGGCATCCATTTATTGCCCTGATATATATATATATTTTTACAGAAGATTAGAAGTAAGTCAATTAATTATAATATTTGATTTTATCTGAATGTGTTCAAGTCGTAGCGGCTTTAACTCATTTTTGATGTTGATGAATATCTGACTCAAATTATTTCTCCATTGACAGGAATGAATCCTGCAGCAACAGAAGCAGCAGTGTAGACTGAATGCTGTGACGGTTCAATCTCCAACAAAATGCATGTGATAAAAACTGCTATCTTGTATAATCCCATATCTTTAAGGCTTTAAATAAAAATGTATTCTAAATATCAGATATTCCTCCAGATATTTGGTTCAGTAGAAAACTGCTTTTTACATGTACCATATTTTCCGCACTATAAGGCGCACCGGATTATAAGGCGCACCTTCAATGAA